ATTTCAATGGGAAGTGTGGGCCTGCTTTTGGCTTATGAGATATGGTTGTTGTTGTTATGTGCTTTCAAACCGTTTCAGACTTAGGTTGACCCTGAGTGAGGGCCGGGTAAATGACCTTGGAGAGCCGTGTTTGGACCCCGGGCCTTAGTTTGAGGACCCCTGGCGTATATATTGGCTGGTGTTACACTTAAAAATATACCTATTCCAACTTACATATAAATTCAACTGCCCGTAGTTCCTTTTTTGATATGACTTGAGTACTTAGTTGACCTACAGATAAGCCAACCCATGTTTTTTGGCTTGATTTTTGACTAAAATGTGTAGACTTATACACAAGTAGATAGGGTAAGTCAAGAATTCCAGACTGAGTTGCTGGATAATTAAGACTAATAATTGAGGAACTGAAAATACTCACTGTACAAATGAACAAAGTCAATAAAACAGCAGGAGCTGAACTTAAAGTATAAGGAAAAGTAAAACTCTTCGCAGAATGTGATTTAAAAACAAGTTAGAGAATCAGGAAAAATAGAGGCTGGTGTATGAAAATTTATTTTCTAAATTGCCTTTAGGAAATTCCCTTAGGAATAAAGCCAGATTACCTTCTTGAACTAACAACTGCTTGGATGCAAGACATTTAGCCAGAGACTGTTTTTAAAGAAACGGATGTAGAAAGAATTCATTGATTCCTAGGCAACATTAACAAAGTCTGAGGGAGGAAAGTATGCAGATCAACTGCTGTTTTCCCAGAAGTTTGCCTCCTTAAAGACACGCCTATTTCTTCTATTTAAAACAGTAGACTCTACTTGGTTTAATTAATATAATTAGACTCTTTTTCATAAATTAATCAGAGGAGAAAGTTCCCCCCAAGAGTTCTAGACACACATTGCGTAAAACTGAAATATCAGACAGTTTTTCTAAGTACTGTATTTCATTGCATAATAGTTGCCATTGCATAATAGTCACACACCCCTTTTTGGGGTCCCGGTTTTTGGTCTTTTATTATTCTTCCCATAATAGTTGAACCCATGTTCCTGCCCCTTGGAGCTGCCGGGCTTCCCAGCTGAAGGGCAGGTGTGTGAGCAGGTCAAGTTTCCATTGAAGCTCCCCTGAGTCCCTTTGGGGAGATAAAGCAGAATATAAATAAACTATTATTATTATTATTATTATTATTATTATCATCAACAACAACAACAACAACTGTTGCCAGGTGTGGACAGCTTTCCAGCTACAGAGTTCCCTCATCTGCCAGCTGAGAGAAGTTTTGTAGCTGCAAAAAAATTCCTCATAATAGTCGTATGCGGTGAAATATGGTACATTAAGTTTTATAAGAGGAGAAGTTTGGAAAATTCAAAGGACAGAGAGTTGTATGGGAATTTGTATTTGGATAAATATCCACCTACGCTAAAGGGTTTGAATCCTGACCCTTTCATCTATGCCTTCAGTGAGTGTTCTTATATATGCTACATATTTGGCAAACTGCAGTAGCTAAGAGGCAACAATTTACATGTACAAAGGCTCTGTGTGTTCAAGAGTGTGCAAATAGATCTTGTGCAAACTGTATTTGAACAAGTTGAAGGAATAGTGTGCATGGAGGGTGTTTCAAAAGGAGGGACCTGATTTGATATTGCTATATCTCTGCAACCATAAATGAAATAATTAGTGCTTGAAAGGATTTTAAATTATTTCTTTATTTTATTTACTACTAGCTGTCCCCTGCCACGCGTTGCTGTGGCCCAGTCTGGTGATCTGGAAAATAAAATAATGAGAAAGTGTTGGTTTCTAATATATGTAATTTTTTGATGCTTGTGGGTAAACAGTAGTTCTTGCTGTTGCTTTGCCAGTGTTGATATGGAGATTGTCTGGTATGCCTTCTCTGGAACATGCTACATATCATTGTCCTTCTTTAAGGGTCCCTTTCAAATTTATGATACTACTAGCTTGTGGACCCGGCACTGCCCGGGTTATTAGAGAAAGTGGGTAATGGCGGTTCTGTATGCCAAGTTTGGTCTTTATTGGTCATCGGATAATGTTTTCAGGAAGTGAGTGAAGGTACTTGAAGTGCCATCATCCATGGTCCACCCTTCTCCAAACAGCAGCAGGATATAGAGTGGGTCATGGGGGCTCTGTGTGCCAAGTTTGGTCTTTATCAGCCATTGGATGAGGGTGGTAGTGGTTTCAGTAAGTGAGTGAAGGTAATGCAAGTCCCATCATCCAAAGTCCAAACTGCAGCAGGATGTAGAGTGGGTCATGGGGGCTCTGTGTGCTAAGTTTGGTCAAGATTGGTCATTGGATGAGGGTTGCAGCAATCTTGGGAAGGGAGTGGAGGTACTTGAAGTCCCATCATCCACGGTCTGTCCTCCTCCAAACTGCACCAAGATGTAGAGTGGGTCATGGGGGCTCTGTGTGCTAAGTTTGGTCTTGATCAGTCATTGGATTAGGGTCGCAGTGGTTTCAGTAAGTTAGTGAAGTTACTGCAAGTCCCATCATCCATGATCCACCCTCCTCCAAACTGAAACAGGATGTAGATAGGGTCATGTGGGCTCTGTGTGTCAAGTTTGGTCTTGATCGGACATTAGATGAGGGTTACAGCCATCTTGGGAAGGGAGTGGAGGTACTTGAAGTCCCATCATCCATGGTCTGTCCTCCTCGAAAGTGCACCAGGATGTAGAGTGGGTCATGGGGACTCTGTGTGCCAAGTTTGGTCTTGATCAGTCATTGGCGAGGGTCTCAGTGGTCTCAGGAAGTGAGTGAAGTGACTGCAAGTCCCATCATCCATAGTCAAATTCTTCCAAACCGCACCAGGATGTGGAGTGGGTCATGCGGGCTCTCTGTGTAAATTGTGGTCCTGATCCATCATTGTTGGTAGTTGTATTGGTCTTAGGAAGGGAGTGCAGGTATTGCAAGTCCCATCATCCATGGTGCATCCTCCTCCAAACCGCACCAGGATGTAGAGTGCGTCATGGAGACTCAGTATGCCAAGTTTGGTCTTTATCGGTAATTGGATTAGGGTTGCAGTGGTCTCAAGAATTGAGCAAAGGTACTGCAAGTCCCATAATCCATGGTCCATCCCCGGCCAAACCACACCAGGATGTAAAGTGGGTCATGAGAGGTCTATGTGCCAAGTTTGGTCCTGATCAGTCATTGGATGAGGTTAACAGCGGTCTCAGAATGTGAGTGATGGTACTGCAAGTCCCATCATCCATGGTTCATCCTCCTCCAAACTGCAGTAGGCTGTCGAGTGGGTCATGGGGGCTCTGTGTGCCAAGTGTATTGGTAATTGTCTGACTCAGCCCCCTCTGGCCTTTTCCTTTCCTCTCTTTGTCATCTCGGAATCTTGGAATTGAGGCTGGCCAATCAGAGACCATATGCAAATTTCCTTCTCATGTCCCCGTTTCTGCCATGAACTCTTTTCTCCACCAGGGGCTCCTATTGAAGCTGGCCAATCAGAGACCATATGCAAATAGCACCACTGCGGCAGCCAATCAGAATGTTGGAACTTTCAGGCTGGCCAATCAAAACGCTGGCACATACTCCTCCCGTCGCACCGCCACACTTTTGTCCGCCGCATACAAACTTTCACCTTTATTATATACATAGATATAGATATCTGTGTGTGTGTGAATCATATATATCTATATCTATGGCTGGATGGCTCTTTGTCAGGAGGGCTTTGATTACGTTTTCTTGCCCTGGTGAAGGGAGTTGGACTGGATGACCTTGAGTATTTTCTGCTGGTCATGAAGGTTCTGTGTGGGAAATTTGTCCCAATTCTGTCATTGGTGGGGTTCAGAATGGTCTTTGTAGGTGAACTGTAAATCCCAGCAACTACAACTCCCAAATGTCAAGGTCTATTTCCCCCAAACTCCATCTGTTTTGATATTTGGGTATATGGAATATTCGTGCCAAATTTGGTCCAGATCCATCATTGTTAGAGTCCACAGTGCTCTCTGGATGTAGGTGAACTACAATTCCCAAACTCAAGGTCAATGCTCACCAAACCCTTCTGGTGTTTTCTGTTGGTCATGGGAGTCCTTTGTGCCAAGTGTGGTTCAATTCCGTTGTCGGTGGGGTTCAGAATGCTCTTCTATTATAGGTGAACTATAAATCCCAGCAACTACAACTCCCAAATGACAAAATCATTTTTTTTTGAGTGAAGGACATACATTGGGTTGTTAGGTGTCTTGTGTCCAAATTTGGTGTCAATTCGCCCAGTGGTTTTTGAGTTCTGTGAATACCACAAACGAACATTATATTTTTATTTATATAGATAGTTGTATAGCGTCCTTCTCAGCCCGCAGGCAACTCAGAACGGTTTACAGAGGCACCAATTCAATGCCCACACCATAAAAACATTTTAAAACATAATCATATAATATAAACACATAACCAAATTAATAAAACATAGATCATTTACATCTTCTAGTTAAAAACTTTGTCCAGTCTTGTCATCCAGTAGTGCCAATTTCCTATGTCTGTTACACTGTATTTTCAAATGCTTGCTCAAACAACCAGGTTAAAAGGGAGGGGGCCGATCTAATGTCCCTAGGAAGGGCGTTCCATAGCCGAGGGGCCACCACTGAGAAGGCCCTGTCTCTCGCCCCCGCCAAACGTAATTGCGACCCAAGCAGGATCAAGAGCAGGGCCTCCCCAGATGATCTTAAAGTCCTAAATCATTACTGCTAGATGCCTCTCCCAGCACACAAACAGCACCTAGCCTCAGTCATTTGCAAGATAAGGACCCTGCAACATAAGACATTTTGTGTTCTGCAATTCAGCAAGACTAAACCCGTAATTATGTTGCTGTGTACATTTCGACTATGTTTTGATTAGTAAAACTTGATAACTTGTTAAGCCATTTGTAACTTCTGTGTAATTTTAACATGTTGCCAACATGAAATATATTGCTTTGAAATGGGGTCCAGCATTTTTAAACATCCAGTACATCTTACTTTGAATGGAGTTTTAAGGACTTTATAAGATAAGTTGTTTCATTTCTGCAGACCCTCAGGATTATATGGAAGGCCTCAACCACTCTGTTGTTGTGTCTGACCATCCAACAAGCCCTGATCCCACTTTGTTGATGTCTGATGTGCAGTCAAGCCCCTCTTGTCAGCGACCTTTTACAGCTGCATGTACGTTTTCCAGTAATAGCTCCATCCTGAGAAGAGACAGGTAAGGGTACTGCAACGTGATTCTTTAATTTCTAGCCATCTTATATGGGTGACATACAAATTTGCCTTGAAGTGTTCTTCTGAAAATAATTAATTGAAGTTTGTGACCTGTTTTGGGTTACAGATGTTGCTAAGAATATTTATTTGTTTATTTATTTATTTACAACATTTATATGCCGCCCTTCTCACCCCAAAGGAGACTCAGAGCGGCTTACAAGGTACATATATATACAATACACTATATTATTAGCATAGTACAACATCAGCACTAAATATTGCTATATTGTATCATACTAATTACATTGTAATATTATTAGTAATATTACATGTAATATAAATATATAATTACAGTATCTTATTATTATTAGTAGTATTAGTATTATATTGCACTACATTATAATATTATGAATATTATATGTATATACAATATATTATATCTATATAAATAAAAATATAATGTTCGTTTGTGACATTAACAGAACTTAAAAACCACTGGGGGAATTGACACCAAATTTGGACACCAGACACCTAACAACCCAATGTATGTCCTTCACTCAAAAAAATTGATTTTGTCATTTGGGAGTTGTAGTTGCTGGGACTTATAGTTCACCTACAATCAATGAGCAGTCTGAACCCCACCAATGATGGAATTGAACTAAACTTGGCACGCAGTTCTCCCATGACCAACAGAAAATACTGGAAGGGTTTGGTGGGCAGTGTCCTTGGTTTTGGAGTTGTAGTTCACCTACATCCAGAGATCACTGTGGACTCAAACAATGATGGATCTGGAGCACTCTACACGGATACGCAATATTCCCAAATGTGAACACTGGTGGAGTTGGGGGAAAATAGAATCTTGACATTTGGAAGTTGTAGTTCCTGGGATTTATAGTTCACCTACAATCATCATCATCATCATCATCATCATCATCATTTAATAACTTATTAATCGCCCTTCATCCAAGAATGCTCTAGGCGATTTACAGCTAAATTATAAAAGATAAAATACATACATACAAAAATTAAAAATTAACAGAGATCAAATGCTCTAGTAAAAAGCCAGGTCTTAAGTGCGAGAGTAAAAGGCCCTAAGTCACACATGGCTCTCATGTAGGGTGGCAAGGAATTCCACAAGGCAGGAGCAGAAATAGAAAAATCCCTGCGTCTGGTCCTTTCCAAGTGCACTTCTCTAGGGCTCGGTATATGGAGTAAGTCACGTTGGGCTGGTCGTTACGACCTCCGATGATGGGAGAAGGAGAGGCGGTCCCTAAGGTATGATGGACCCTGGCCGTAAAGAGTTTTAAAGGTCAGAGCTAGGATCTTATACAGGCCACGGTACTCAGTTGGAAGCCAATGTAAATGTTGCAGCACTGGTGTTATATGGCATTTCATGGGCGTTCTTGTGAGTAACCTGGCTGCCGCATTCTGAACAATACGAAGCTTTCAGGTCGTAGACATCGGAAGGCCCACATACAGGGCGTTGACCAAAGATAGAATTGGACCACAGAACCCCTATGTGGGCCACAGCAACGCATGGCAGGGGATGGCTAGTTATATTATATTATTAGAAAAGCACAGGAGACAAAGTGGAATTCCCCCCCCCCCTTCACTCTGGCCCAGAGCGGCGGTTGGTGCTAGAGGGAGGGGTCTCCAGCTGAGTGTGTGTGTGTATTGATTGCATAAATTGATTCCCAATACTAATTTGTAATGCCTTTTGCTTTCTCCTGTCATTCATGCAACCAATGCTTCTGTTTGTAAGCAGAACTGTAATATATGAAATTACCAGTGTTTGTGCATAGCTTGAATTATGTGTGACTGTACTTTTCTCCACTTCCCTAGTCAAAGTGATCACTTTTAACAGGTTCTGATTTCCACTGTTTTATGTTTAAACTTTTTTTTTTAGGTGATGTATTTAGGTATGGCTAAGGCTTCTTTATCATGGGAAGAAGGCAAAACGAATTCTAAAGGAGTTGGTAGGAGAGCTAATTTAAAGTCTAGATCACACAAACCATTACAATTAGAGTGGCACAGACAGTGGATTGATTCCCCCACCCCCAATTTTCTACCAAGAAATGAAAAGGTCTATTGATTTATTGATCAATGCAAACAAATAAATGAAATTAATCAATGAATACTAACAACCAATTTTCCTGTGCTGTTTATTAAAATATAATTTAAAAACAAAATGCAAGCTATGAATAGAAAAATTAGGAACAGAACAAGTCAAATAAAAATTAAGAACTAGATAAGAAAGTAGGTAATAAAACCAAAAGGGATGAAATAGACAAGGATGTATAATAATTAAAACTAGTTATTTAAAAACTCTATGTGACCCCCCCCCCCCAAAAAAAAACAACAACAACCCAACAATAACCTATAATGTAGGCAGACCTTGGAAGGGTATCCCATAGAATTTTTTTCATGTCAGGAGTGACTTGAGAAACCGCAAATCGCTTCTGGTGTGAGATAATTGGACATCTGCACGGATGTTGCCCAGGGGACGCCCTGATGTTTTGATGTTTTAGCATCCTTGTGGGAGGCTTCTCTCGTGTCCCCACATGGAGAGCTGGAGCTGACAGAGGGAGCTCATCTGCACTCTCCCCGGATTCGAACCTCTGACCTTTTGGTCTTCAGTCCTGCTGCATGAGGGTTTAACCCATTGTGCCATCAGCGGCTCTTATCCCATAGATGAAGTGCCACCTTTATCTATCTTGATCCCATAGATCAATGGTTCTCAACCAGTGGGTCCCCAGGTGTTTTGGCCTACAACTCCCAGAAATTCCAGCTAGTTTACCAGCTGATAGGATTTCTGGGAGTAGAAGGTCAAAACATCTGGGGAACCACAGGTTGAGAACCACTGCCATAGAGAAAGTGACACCTCTCAGCTATCTTACTTAGCTCATTTGTTAAATGGAATGTACCCAGAAGAGTGTCACAGTTAGTGACTTTAGAGTCTGGGTAAACATGTAAAGAGCTACTCTGCCAGTTGCCTGGCTTCATCTCACTCAGAAGTTTTAAGATTAAAACCAGCATTATGAATGGGCCCAGAAAGAGACTGATAGACAGTGCAGGCGGCAAAGCAAAATATAATGTGACCATTTAATCAGTTTACACTAATAGTCTGACACTTCTATTTTTGATTAGCTAAAGCTCGGTGCATTTTCAAAGGCAATTCCACATATAACATATTGCGATAACTAACACTAATGGGAGTTTACCAGATCATATCTTCTTATTGTAAGGCTGTATCTAGAAGGGGTCATAATGGTTATATTAAGTCTAAGTGAATAAATATTCTTCAAACCAATGAAGCTGTCTGTGCCTTGGGCTGATGATGGATCCGACAATGTTATATTAAGTCAGTAAGGAAAGTAAAGCCTTGTGCAGTCTGTAACTCCAGTTTCACTTCTCTAAACAGTTATATATAAATATGTACCGTATATTCCGGCATATAAGACTACTGGGCATATAAGACGACCCCCAACTTTTCCAGTTAAAATATAGAGTTTGGGATATACTCACCGTATAAGACTACCCCTCTTCCAACGCACACCAAATAAAATTTTTAAAAGCATCAGATTTGATTTCAATATGGTAATTTTCCTATTACTGTACCTCCTTCTCTGCCTCTCAGATCTTGCACATGCGCACCTGCACCGCTTCACTGAAGTCTTCAGGAGCGAAATCTAAGAGGCAAAGGAGGAGGTATGGCAATAGGATACAATGGCGGGCCGAGCAGGTAAAAGAGGTGTGCTTTTCTGGGCCCAGAGCCACTCTATCTCTGTTTCCATACCCCGGATGCTCCAGACGCCTGCAGCTTGCTCCACCCTTCACTTACACTTTCCTGGTGAGGTGCCCCTTGACCTCACAATTGGGACTGCATTAAGTCCACAAATCCTGATGAATGGATTTTCTTCTACCGTACTTGTACAGCGTCGCCCTTAATGCTTTCATACAGTCACTGCATACGGCAGGGAAGTGGCCACTGCCATTTTTGAACTCCCCCACAATATGCAGCAACCACAGATTCTCCAATCTGGATTGGAAGTTCCAGAACCCGCTTTATAAGACTACATAAGGTTACTCCAGCATATAGGACGACTCCCACGTATAAGATGACCCCTGACTTTTGAGAAGATTTTAGTAGTTTTATACACCAAAATATATGATAATTAGATATCTTACTGATTTCTTGTAATTTGTGAATTTATCTTATGTGATTTTGTCTATTTATTCTCTTTCATGCAGACTGCTTTGTTTGCCCAGTGATCAGAAGGGCATTTCTGACAGGTATTTCACAGACTGGAAGATAAGCAAGTTAATGCATCTCTGATGTCTTGGCTAGTATTATTAGGACTTGTGATTTTGATGCCACAGAAAACAGGGTTGCTACCAAATTATATATATATATTTCTTTTTTAAACAGCCCAACAAGTGAACACATCTGGCAACAAGGCACTTCTACATCCTCTATAATGTCCCAGTTTTCAGAAACAAACCATGGCAAGTTGTTAGGAAGCTACTCCACATCTCATGAATGTACTGTTCCTGTGCAAGATGGTTCCCTTTTGTGTCATTTCCAGAACAAAGGACCCCAAACTGGATCATTGAAAAGCCTAAAGAATTCATCAGCTGATCAGCAGCAAAACTCTGAGGACAGTACCAGCATCCAAGCTTTCCTCAATTTTGGTGGATGCAGTGCCAGTAGTAGCCAATCACTACTGGGAAAGAAACAATTTGCTTTTTTGCCACATGATAATGGCTCTCCCAAAATATCAAAATCACCAGTGGACAGTAGCTTTTCAACGCACAGTTTTCTTGCATCCACTCCAAGACCCAACAGCCAGAATAGTCCAAATGAACAAAACCAGGGAGTGACTATTCCACCTCATCCCACACTTCAAGAGAAGAAGAGGACTTCAGAAGGCTCTATCTCACCTTCTTCCAGTGGCTTCTCCAGCCCACATAGTGGGAGTTCTATTAGTATCCCATTTCCGGATGTTCTCCCTGATTTCTCTAAAGGTGTAAGCACTTCGTCATTGCAAGGTATGCTGTGGGCATGAGGATGTATTCCTGAAAAGTAGCTGTCTTAAGCCAGGAGAGTTTGTAATTTCTCAAGTTAGATCTCAGAAACAACATTCAAATGGCACATATTCTTGTATAATTACAGAATAGGTGAAGGGGCTGCAGGATTGTGTTGTCTTATCTGCCCATGAAAAAACTTTTCATTGCTTTTGTTATCCATGCCCTCAAAGTATCCTATATTTATTTATTTATTTATTTACGATATTCATAGTCTGCCTTTCTTAGCCATACAGCAACTCAAGGCGGGTTACAGATTGGCACAATTTGATGTCAGGCATTCATAAAAGTGCCATTAAAACAATATTACAATATAAAATATATATACAAATCCTTAAAGCACATAATCATCAGTGTGGTCTTGTTAAAAATGTTATCCAGTTACATCACCTGGCCATTCCATGTTCATCATTCATAGTTCTGTGGATCTATTCTGCTGCATTCTCAAAAGCTTGCTCAAAGAGGCAGGTCTTGACTTTTTTTCGGAAAGTCAGGAGGAAGGGGGCCAATCTAATATCCTTAGGGAAGTAGTTCCATAACCGGGGGGCCACCACTGTGGAGGCCCTGTCCTTCGTCTCTGCCAATTGCACGTGCGAGGCAGGCAGGATCGAGAGCAGGACCTCCCCAGACAATCTTAAGGTCCTAGATAGTTCATAGGAGGAGATACGTTCGGACAGATAAGCTGGGCCGGAATCATTTAGGGCTTTATAGGCTGAAGCCAGCATTTTGAATTGTGCTCGGTAGCAAATATATACACACAAAACACAGAGAGAGGGCTATTCTCTGTGAACCAAATTCCTGGTGTGTCGACATTTCTGTTCACATATAGGAGGCCTTTGTGTTTCCATTTCTGCTTACATAGAGTCCTTTGCATTTTTGCCAAATGCACAGATGTGATCAGCCTGTTTTCTCATTCATTGCTAAATTGATATTCATAATATGAGTTGGGAATTAAATAGTGTAAACTATACTATCAATTTGGATATCATTTTTAATGTTCCCTCCATGTAAAAAGAGACCTGTCTACACACAGACAGATAGAAAAAGAGCTTGTGTCCTCTGCTAATTTTCTGTTTTCAAGAAAATGTTAATGTAGCAGAGCACTAAATACATATTTTCTCCCTCCTACAATTTGTTTTCTATTACATCTGCTGTCTCCTACTGTGTATACCAGACTAAGGATGTCAAACTCATTTTCACCAAGGACTTCATAAGCCTTATGGTTGCCTTCAAAACACAGTTTGTAATTGTAAGATTGTATACACGTAACTATATTGCCCTTGCATTGAAAGCCTTGCAGACTGGATGACATGGTGGGCTGAATTTGACACATGTAGTCCATCACTAGACCATCAATGGCCAAATGGCAAAAAATCTGAAGATTGCCTCAGTATGAAATAATTAGTGTGCTGATGTTTATTTGTTTTTATTTTTGTCTTACAGAAAATACAAATGACAAACATGTGACTGTGAAGTTTGTCCAAGACACTTCCAAGTTCTGGTACAAACCAGAGATCTCAAGAGAACAAGGTATCACATTCCACAGCATATATATTTTTATATCATATGCTATTGTTTATAACAGAAATTTCTTGATTGTTTTTACTTGTTATAATTGTTGAGGCGTCAAATTGCTGCCAATTTGTGAACTGCTCCAAGTCACCTCCGGACTGAGAGGGGCGGTATATAAATATAGTAAATAAATAAATAAATTTATTTGAAGATACTATTTCAGAAATAATAAAATTCACCTGAACACACAACCATACAAACAGAACTGGCATAGCGAATGGCAGGGAGCTTCCTCCCTCACGGCAGCATGATCCCTTCCTCTTCACCTTCCTCCTTGCCTGCTGTGGTGACGGAGGAAAGGGAGAAAGGAAGAAGGGAGGAAAGAAAGAAGGAAGCATGGGAAAGAGGGGAGAGCACGCCTTGCACAGCCCGGGGGAGGGAGGGAGAGAGAGAGGCAACATCCTCTCTTCCCTCCTTTTGGCTCTTCCCGTTGCCTTTGCAAAGGTGGGCACTTCCAAGGCTTCCAGCCCCCACCAAGCTTCTGAGGCAGGAGGGAGTCTGAAGGGGGACCCACATAGAGGAAGAAGAGGAGGAGGCAGAAGCACAGGCAGCAGTAGCAGCGGACCCCAGGCTCAGAGCCCGTCACAGCCGTTTCCGTTGCAACTTGGTGGGGATGGTGAAGCCAAGCAAAGCAGGGGGAGCCAGGAGCTGGGGGGGGGGGGCGGACAGAGCCCGACCAGTGAGGGGGGTCTGCCCCTGTCAGGGAGGGAGGACAGTTGCGAAGGTAGCCTAGGATATCTATAGTCCCACAATTTGTTCACAAAACAAAACACACAATAACATATCCACACTGTGTGTGTGTGTATAGGTTAAAGCTAAAGGTTTCCCCCTGACATTAAATCCAGTCATGTCCAACTCTGGGACTCTGGTGGTCATCTCCATTTTTTAGCTGAAGAGCCGGCGTTGGCCATAGACCCCTCCAAAGTCATGTGGCCACTGGCATGACTGCATGGAGCGCCCTTACCTTCCTGCCAGAGTGGTAGCTATTGCTCTACTCACATTTGCATGTTTTTGAATTGCTATATGCATTGAAAATCATTCTATCTATCTATCTTTTACAACTTGGCAACATACACATGTTGGGAGAGCAACAGTGAGTGCGTTTGGGTGTGTGGAGTTGTGAAAATGTAGTGGAATTAATGCACATGCAAGATCATTCCCACAATAACCCCTCAAGACATGCACTCCCGCAGAGCCACTTATTTCCCGCGTGACTGTGTGTATTTGAGGGGAGAGTTGAGGAAACATTGTAAAATTAACATCCATGTAGGTATTCTCCACAACTTCCTTTCAACATAGACATTACCATATTATACACACCCATATGTGTATGCGTGTGTGTGGGTGTGTGCATGCACTACATCTCCCCCCAAAGAAAGAAGGAGACAAAGAGCGAGGGAAGGTTGGCCACAGCAAAGCGTGGTGGGTATAGCTAGTCTCATATAATAATAAAGTTGGAAAAGATTGCAATGGGCATTCAGTTTAGCCACTGCCATGCAGGAACACACAATCAAAGCACTCCTGACAGGTGGCCATCTAGCCTCTGTTTAAAAACATCCAGAGGAGGAGACTCCGCAACATTCTAAGGAAGCATATTTCATTGTTGAACAGCTCTTACTGTCACAAAGTTCTTCCTAATGTTTAGGTGGAATCTCTTTTCTTGCAGCTTGAGTGCATTGCTCTGTATTCTATCCTTTAGAACTTCAGAACAAAAAACAAACCAAATTTTCCCTCCCTCCTCTATGCCATTTTATAAAATATTTAAACATGATTTTCATGTCCCGTCTCAGCCTTCCCTGAGGAGGGAGGGAGTGTACTGATCCATGGTGCAACTATTGGAGTTGTAAAGGACAGAGGGAGACATGAATGGAGAAGATGGTCTCAGTGCCATTCAAGTGTGGAGCAAAACAGGATGCTTATCACCCTAAAATGGTCTCCCATATTGAACTGCATAGATAATAAAGATTACAGACCTCCTTGGACTGAAAATTGTTCTGCTGAACGCCAGGTCAGTTAATGGGAAAGTTCATTCAGGACTTGATTCTAGATGAGAGTGCTAACTTGGCCTGTATTACAGACACTTGATTGGATGAGACTGAGGCGGGAATGTCTTAGCTCTGCCCACCAGTTTTTTTTTCTGTACAGCAGCAGGAGAGAACCAGGAAGCGGGGAAGTAAAGTTACAGTGGCTCCACATCGCACCTGTCAAAGTTGGAGTGTGTACACCTAAAGGGTGTAGCCAGGACAGAATAGGGGTTCAAGTAATATTCTAGAAACTAGGACACTGAGCAATGGCTTCAAATCACAGGAAAAATGATTCAGTTTAAACCAGTGGTTCCCAACCTCTTTTTGACCAGGGACCACTTTGATCAGGGACCACTCTCCAACATTAGTACTAAAAGGGTTACAAATCGGTTTTTGGTCAACTTTAGAATTACTTGGGCCACATCATGAGCTTGAAGAAGACAATGATACTGGGGAAAATGGAAGGAAAAGGGAAGAGGGGCAGACCAAGGGCAAGATAGATAGATGGTATCCTTGAAGTGACTGTCTTGACTTTGAAGTAGCTGGGGGTGGCCATGTCCGATGGAGCTCTGGCGTGGGCTGGTCCATGAGGTCATGAAGAGTCGGAAGTGACTGAACGCATAAACCATTAGATCTGGTTCAGTTATTTGGGGTGCTGATTCAGAAAATTGCATTGGATAGACCACATCAGCTCTAGTTTCTAATACAGAACATATGCCATCCAGTAGTCGCCACCTGCTTGCCCACAGAAAACTATATTTAATTATCTAGAGCTCATGTGGTAGTAGTAAACTTTGGTGGGTAGTCAGCCTCTTCCCTCTTGACATCCCCGTTGCCTTGGCACTATAAGAAGGTTTTGTGAGACCAGTTGCTCTCCTTGCCATGTGAAGTAATCATGAAGCTGTGGACCATATTTTTGTTCTTGTGGACCACCAGTGGTCCACAAGAACAAAAATCACAGGTTGGGAACCACTGGTTTAAACATTAGGAAGAACTTCCTGATGATAAGAGCTGTTCCGCAGTGGAATGTGCTGCCTTAGATCATGCTGGAGTCTCCGTCTCTGGAGGTTTCTGATCAGAGGCTGATTGATCACCTGTAAGGTATGCTTTGATTCTGTGTTCCTTTGTGACAGAGGGTGGACTGAATGGGCTATGATTCTATGATTCCATGAACCTTGGATTGTTTTGTAGCACTTTCAGGGTAAGTTACCAACTTTTTATGAAAGGATTTGCGCCTGTTACCTATATTTGTAACTTTAACTATAAAGATCTCTCCTCAGTTATCTCTTTCACTTCAACAACTTTCTTTCCTTTTACACAGCTATTGATGTTCTGAAGGACAAGGAACCTGGATCATTTGTTGTTCGTGACAGTCACTCATTCAGGGGAGCCTATGGGTTGGCCATGAAAGTTGCTATACCTCCTCCTTCAGTGTTACAGCTAAATAAGAAAGGTAGATTAATTTTATTTTCATTTCTTTGTTTCCAGAGCAGTTCAGGTTGGGAAAATAATGTTTACTTTCTCGAATAGTTAGGGATAGACCTATTCCTCTGCAATGTAAGTAAATTATATTTTCAGATTTTCAGTCAGTTTGTGGTATTTATGTAAGCAGGGAATTCCCTGTTCTTAATCCAATAGGATTAATTTGTTGACTTTTAGAAAGATATATAGTTAGAAATATATATTTAGTTAAACACAAATAGCTAATTTCTTCTTGCTGGTTTGATGCAGCCTTGCTCAACTTGGAGGACCTGGAGTCTTCCACATCCTTTAGACAATAACTTTTAGGTTCATGCTGATGGGACTTGTAATTCATAATTTTTAGAGGACCTCAAATTGTGGAAAGCTATAGATTATTTTCAAGACTGTCCAGTGACCCCTACCCTTCATATAAGATTTGTTCATGCACTCACACTTCATTCCTCCTTTCTTTTGGGAAGCCACAGCAAATTTGTCAACAAAATATGTAAATAATGTAAATTCCTTAACAGGGTTGTTGTAGGTTTTTTCGGGCTATATGGCCATGTTCTAGAGGCATTTTTACCTGACGTTTCACCTGCATCTATCAGAGGATGCTTGCCATAGATGCAGGCGAAACGTCAGAAGAAAATGCCTCTAGAACATGGCCATATAGCCCGGAAAAACCTACAACAACCCAGTGATTCCAGCCATGAAAGCCTTTGACAATACAAATTCCTTAACAGTTCATTTCTCCAGCGGGCAATGAACATTTTTGCTTGATACCATACCAAGGATAATAAAAGATTGTTCATTGTGAAGACTTCAGAAGAGGAGTTTAGGATTTTGGAAGAGGGGGTTGTCTTATGTTCAGAATTGTAGAGCGTACTACCATGTATATCTTGCTCCACATACAAATGTTTTACTTGATCCATGAACAATCTGTGTAGTTATTCTAAGAAACCCTGAATGAATTAGGCTAGAAACTCTAGAGACTGGGTTTAATAGATTTTGACACTCTGCTTTCAGTTGCTGATACAATATTTATTTTTTCTCTTCAGTATAAATGTGGCTAAAAACCAATAACACTATTCGCATTATCTGCCACCTTCTGGTGTTACTCTGAAGTGGAAGTTAATCTGAAATTATTCTCCTCCTCCTCCTTCTAATTATTTATATCATAGCTTTTCCCATTACTGGGACAATATTTTACAAATTATTAAAACCAGTACTGATTGAAAATTTATAAAAATTTCAGTCTGTCTCTGAATAATTAAACAGCCTATAGAACTGAAACCATTTAAATTTCATCTGAAGAAAAAATAATACAGTTGCATTATCCAGGCGGAGGCCAAAAGAGGGTGCTAGACAGAGAAGGATAACCCATTTTACAGGGGGGAAGGGGGTTGAAGGAGCTAAACCATTTCCCACTGTTTTCCTGTTATTCTCTCCCCCCCCCCCCATGTCACCACTATGGAAACAACCCTCATTTATGAAATGGGAAGTGGGGAGCGAAAATGAAGAAAATGGTTTCCTCCTTCAATTCCCTGCACCCATAAAATGAACTATTGTTCTCAGTCTAGCACCCCCTTTTGTCCTCCACCTGGAACACTACCAAGAAAACTATTAAGAAAACAAATGAATAGAAGCATTCTCTCCATACAGCCAGAAAAATCTATAACAACCCAGTGATTCCGGCCATTAAAGCCTTCGACAATACAAATCAAATAAATAGCTTGATGTTGACAGCCCTTTGCAGTTAATTTCTAAAAGACTAATGGAATAAAATAGTTTTAATGTATTGTCGAAGGCTTTCATGGCCGGAATCACTGGGTTGTTGTAGGTTTTTTCGGGCTATATAGCCATGGTCTAGAGGCATTCTCTCCTGACGTTTTGCCATCACCTCTAAGGATGCTTGCCATAGATGCAGGCGAAACGTCAGGAGAGAATGCCTCTAGACCAGTGGTTCTCAACCTGTGGGTCCCCAGATGTGTTGGCCTTCAACTCCCAGAAATCCTAACAGCTGGTAAATTGGCTGGGATTTCTGGGAGTTGTAGGCTAAAACACCTGGGGACCCACAGTTTGAGAATCACTGCTCTAGACCATGGCCATATAGCCCAAAAAAACCTACAACAACCCATAAAATAGTTTTCTTCACCAGTAGAACCAGCACAAAGGGAGCTATCCTTTCCTCCCTAGTGAGGGAGTTCCAGAGTTTGGGAGGCGCCACTGAAAAAGTGATTATTCCCACCAAATGTGTCTGAGAAGGTAGAGAAGGGACAGAGAAAATGACTTCTCACAAAGATCTTAGAATATAAACAGGTTTATACAAGAATATACAGCCCTTCAACCAGTCTGAACATGAGCCATATCAAATCACAGAATCTTAGATTTGGAAAAAAACCAGAAAGACCTGCAAGAACACACAACCAAAATACTCTTTAAAAAGATGCCCATCTCACCCCTACTTCAACACTCCAAAGATGGAGAGTCCACCATCCCTGGAAGCAGTACATTAAACTGTTGAGAAGCTCTTATGGTAAAGAAGTTCTTCCTAATGGAATATTGCTTCTTGTAATTGAATTCATTGCTTAATTCTCTAGTCTCTGAGGCAGGTAAAAATGCTTGTTCCATCTTCATCATGACATACCATTAGACATTTAAAAATTGCTAACATGTCATCTCTCAAATTTCTCTTCTCCAAGTTAACCATAGAGGATGGAACAAAATTAAACATAGAAGATGGAAGAAAACTTGATTTTCAGAGTCTTGATCTTCCTCACATTTCGATCCACACTTTCCAGCAGGAATACTGTGTTGAGTTCTGGCCACCACAGTTCAGGAAAGATATTGAGAAAAGAAGGCAACCAACCAAGCCATGCCCTGTGAAGAGTGACTTAGGGAGCTGGGTATGTTTAACCTGGAGAAGAGAAGATTGAGAGGTGATATCCTAGCCATGTTTAAATATTTGAAATGATATCATCGTGAAGATGGGGCACTCTTGACTGCATTTATACCAACTGACCATGATGTCCTTCTGGGTTGCCTTGTTGAGATGGAACTTGGAGGCACTGTTTTACCTTGGCCCCATTCATTCCTGGAGGAGCGAACTCAGAAGGTAGTTTTGGGGGATTCCTGTTCAATCCCCTGTGGAATCCCTCAGGACTCCGTTTTGTCCCACATGCTGTTTAACATACGCATGAAGTTCATCCAGAGTTTTGGAGGACTGTGCCATCTATATGTAGATCACATTAAGCTCTGCTGCTCCATTCCACCTAAAGTCAAGGAAGCTGTCCTGGTTCTAAACTAGTGTCTGTCATCAGTAATGTACTGGATGAGAGCAAACAAATGCAATATTCATCTAGACAAAATAGATGTATTGTCGAAGGCTTTCATGGCTGGAATCACTGGGTTGTTGTAGGTTTTTTCGGGCTATTTGGCCATGGTCTAGAGGCATTCTCTCCTGACGTTTCGCCTGCATCTATGGCAAGCATCCTCAGAGGATGCTTGCCATAGATGCAGGCGAAACGTCAGGAGAGAATGCCTCTAGAACATGGCCATATAGCCTGAAAAAACCTACAACAACCCAAAATAGATGTACTTCTAGTCAAGTTCAAATTCACTTCATTACGGTCAGTGACCAGTTCGAGAGAAGAGGGACGTAGTCCCATACAAGCATATCAGAGTTAAGGGTTACGAGATTTAAAACTCTAAAATAAGTGTATGATTGTTAGGGCATTAAGATAATTAATTTAAGAATCTAAGCTAAAATCCATATACAGGATTATATTATATCTCAATTAGGATAAAATGCACAACACAGCCTAGCAAAAAACAATTCTTGTCTTGATTTTTATGCCTGTTCTTGGAATTATTTGGGGTGCCGATTCAGAACATTCATTGGACAAACCACATCATGGCTGTCATCATTTTCTATGGATGAGGAGATGGTGACTGGTAGATGGCATACGTTCTGTATCTCAAAAACAAGAGCTAATAGGAGAAACATGGTGCCATTTTTGGAATCAGCAGGTCAAATATACCCAGGAACAAGGCTAACATTTGAGGCACTAAAATGTGTTGGCCATCTATTACAATAGATGATCTGCTTGTTGGTTTTTTTTTCCTCTACCTTTTGTTCGGTGAAATTATCTAGAAGCCTAGTGGGCAATTGATTAAATCTTAAGTTCTTAACGGGGTGTGACAAGTATTAGAGTGATTGAAATCTCCCATCCATATCTTCATTCTGGCATTGGTGCCTATACAGTATGTGTGTGTACACACACACACACACCTTAAAATCGCCTATTGAATTATGTTTACCTTGTAAAATTCATAGCATTTTATTAGGCAAGAAATACTCAGAGGTGGTTTTGCCAGTTCCTTCTTGCGAAGCAGTCCCCCTTAATCAGGTTTCCCCCCTTTAATTTTAACCCAGATGCTGTTCTTTGGGTAAATATAACACTACGGGTCATAATCAGCATTTCAAATTATGCCTGGACATGTACTGGTAGCCACAGTGTTTATGAGATCTAGTGTTAACCTAATTTGCTGTAATAACTTTGTTTTCATCATGTTATGGTGCAGTTGGAGATCTATCCAATGAACTTGTCAGACATTTTCTGATCGAGTGTACCCATAAGGGAGTAAGGTTGAAAGGATGCCCCAATGAGCCATATTTTGGTAAGTATCTCTGTATTTCATACATCTTACTGATTAAATTATTTTAGTGGACATGGTGAGCAGTTTTTATGTAGTAGTAAATTACTACTTTTGAGTACGTGCAGTCCCTGAGTTACAAACATCCGACTTGCAAACAACACATAGTTAAGAACAGAGGTGAGACAACAAGAAGTGAGATATATCTACCCCTAGGAAGGGAAATTCACTCCGGGGAAGAATAATAATAATAATAATAATAATAATAATAATAATAATAATAATAAACCTTTATTTGTACCCCACTACCATCTCCCGAAGGACTTGGTGCAGCTTACAAGAGGCCAAGCCCAAATACAACAATAAAACAACAGCAACAACAATATAGCAAAATAAATCAAAAGCAAAGCAATAACATTAATAACACACAATGGCGCAATTAAAAACTATGGCAGGGCCAAATGTAATAATTAAAATTAAAAAGTGCTGGGCATGACCAGGAGAAAAGCGTAGGTGTTTGGAGAGGGATGGGTTTGCAGATATCCTGAATCTCTGATAAAGTGCGTTGGGGACAAAATGCTTGGAGTTTCCTTATTCTGGGAAGGCACACTGGAACAACCACGTTTTCAAGCTCCTCCTAAAAATTGCCAGCGATGGGGCTTGCCTGATGTCCTTAGGGAGAGAGTTCCAGAGTCAAGGGGCCACCACCGAGAAAGCCCTATCCCTCGTCCCCACCAATCGCGCTTGCGATGCCGGTGGGATCATGAGTAGGGACTCTCCAGATGAACGAAGAGATTGTGTGGGTTCGTACACAGAGATGCGGTCACGCAGGCAGGCAGGTCCCAAACCGTTTAGGGCTTTGTAGGTCAGAACCTGCACCTTGAATTGGGACCGGAAAATGAATGGCAGCCAGTGGAGCTCCTTAAACAGGAGGGTTGACCTCTCCCTGTAAGGAGCACCAGTTAACAAAAGGGAAAAGGTGTCTCCACTGAAGCTTTCACATCTATTCTTGTTTCAACAACAAGCCCAATTTTTCAAAATCCAATTATCACATGGACAGAAAGTGAGGTGAAATCTTCTGAATAGGGACACAGGCATCAAAACAAACACCACAGGGGTGTTAACCCTTCCCTGTGCTATCCAAAGCTCTCTCTCTCTCTGTGTGTGTATGTGTGTTTGGCTGGGGTTGCACTTTAAAAATGTACCTTACAAATGTAACTTAAAAACAAACCTACAGAACATAGCTTGTTTGTAACTTGAGGACTGCCTATACTGGATTTAGACTTTAGCCATGTACATACATTATTTAACTGTCAACATGGGAGCAGGAATTACCTAGCTCCCCTCCACAATCACTTTTCTTTCCTGGAATATAATATGTCAGAAGAAGCTTGTCACTGAGGCAAGAACCCTAGTAGATCACAGATCTTGCTCAGGTGGAAATAATTTTAATCAGAAATACTTACAGCCTGCAGCTTTGAACCAACCATGGTCAAAATGACCAACTGTAGTAGACCCATTGAAATTATGACACTTATGTAAGTTTTGATTGAATGAGTGTACTCTACTTTAAACTAACAGTTTGATTGAGGACAGAATTTCCCAACAAAGGTCACTTTATATTTTTTTAGCACTCAGGAGCCACTTTATCCTATGGAATCCTGGGATTTATTATTTGGAAAAGCATTAGGGCTCATAAATAGTCGTTCAGAACTCTCTCTCCCTTACCATTCTAAATTCTAAAATTATCAATATCTCACAGAACCTCTGAGGATTCAATGGGATGAGATACAGACAAAAATAAAACACTGAGCATTTTATGCCCACCTTTTTTTGTCCTGGCTTGGAAATGTTACAGTGGGTGTTCTCCACATTTCCCATTTCTATCAGTTTTACTTTTAAGGTTCATAAAGTTCAAATCATGTATTTAATTGACTTTATATGCATTCTGTTTTGGAATCAAAATGATGTAAATAAATTCAGTAAGTGATGATTCCATAAATGAAAGTAAATTATATCCACAGTAACCTACCAAAGGAGATATGTAAGTAGACAATTTCCAGTATAAACACATCCGATGTGGATATTAAGCAAAGGAGAATGTGTCTAATGCAGAACCTCTCCATGCTGCCATGGTCTGGTCTGCACATTCTTCAGGATGAGGTGATAAACTAGATTGTGCCATTTCAGACTGTAGGTGGAGTGATAGCGTCATTTTTAAATCCACACCAATCTTGTAAATAAACTTCCTACAGACTAGGAAGGTAGGGTTGGTACTGTACAGAGAAATATACAGAACTAGATTGCAAACAAACTTCATAAAACCCTTTAAACAATTGATACTAGTTAGAAGAGGCTAGAATAACCTGTTTTTGAGATTTAACACATGTTTTACATTGGGAGAATATTTTAAAATAGTGTTTTCATTTCTTCTTCTACATTGTTGATTCTTCTGTATAACACATAGATCCATACTTGGGGACAAAATGTTGGGAAAGCATGGTACTTTCTTAGAAACCACACCTTGTCTTTGGATCAGAGAGAACAGAATGAGGAAATGAGTGTCCTGATCTCAGAAAATGTTTAGAAAACATAGCCAATACTCCAGATGACAGGAGCAGGATTCAAAACAATCTTGACAGACTAGAGAGATGGGGCAAAACTAACAAAATGAAGTTCAACAGTGACAAATGCAAGATACTTCACTTAGGCAGAAAAAACAAAATGCAAAGATACAGAATGGGGGACAATGCCTGGCTTGAGAACAGTACGTATGAAAAAGATCTTGGAGTCCTCGTGGACAACAAGTTAAACATGAGCCAACAATGTGATGTGGCGGCAAAAAAAGCCAATGGGATTTTGTCCTGCATCAATAGGAGCATAGTGTCTAGATCTAGGGAAGTAATGCTACCCCTCTATTCCGCTTTGGTTAGACCACACCTGGAATATTGTGTCCAATTCTGGGCACCACAATTCAAGAGAGATATTGACAAGCTGGAATGTGTCCAGAGGAGGGCGACTAAAATGATCAAGGGTCTGGAGAACAAACCCTATGAGGAGCGGCTTAAGGAGCTGGGCATGTTTAGCCTGAAGAAGAGAAGGCTTAGAGGAGATATGATAGCCATGTATAAATATGTGAGAGGAAGCCAGAGGGAGGAGGGAGCAATCTTGTTTTCTGCTTCCCTGGAGACTAGGATGCGAAACAATGGTTTCAAACTACAAGAAAGGAGATTCCATCTGAACATGAGGAAGAACTTCCTGACTGTGAGAGCCGTTCAGCAGTAGAACTCTCTACCCCGGAGTGTGGTAGAGGCTCCTTCTTTGGAAGCTTTTAAACAGAGGCTGGATGGCCATCTGTCAGGGGTGGATTTGAATGCAATATTCCTGCTTCTTGGCAGGGGGTTGGACTGGATGGCCCATGAGATCTCTTCCAACTCTTTGATTCTATGATTCTATAGTTATTGTCTGAAAATCAAGAATACAAGAGTTCAAAATGAAAACAGTATGTATAGTTTTAACATAACACAGAAGCTAATTTGGTGACTCATTTAACATTTGTGTTAACCACAGGTAGCTTGGCAGCTTTGGTGTACCAGCATTCCATTACTCCTTTGGCATTGCCCTGCAAGCTGCTCATCCTAGATAAAGGTATTCTCAATAGAACTCATTAAAACATAAAAGCACTTTGTCTAAAGCAGATCTCGTATCATAGTAGATTTTTTTAAACAGCTCTGGTGCTTCAGTGTATGTTTTGGTACTTGGTAGAGGCAAGGAGTTATATATGAAGATGGATTTAAAGACAGAGTGATGGGATTGAATACACTCCCTGCTGTGTTCAGTTCTAAAAGTCATTTTTCTACTTCTCAAGCTCTTAAAAATGTTCTTCAACTTACAACAAAAGTTGTATATAGGTGACACTGATTGTCCCAGTGTAATGTCACAAGAGACTTCTCCCATAGGATTGGTGTGTGATACAAGATGGCCTGGTTGCTTCTATGTTGTAAGTTTTAGTACGTATAAACATTGCAGTTCAATTTTAGAACTGTGTTTAAAATACAGGGTGAGGCAGCAGAACTTCCTTTTTTAAAATGCGTGCCATTCAGTCGGTTGAAGACGTAGTGATCTTGTTTGGGAGACGAGAGTATAAAGTTTTGTCCTGCACAGTTCAGTCGCCATCATGCGTTGGAACAGTGAGGAGCGTGCTTTTGCCGTTGAGGCCTATTTTTCGAGCGGATTTGGAGTGGCCGGCCCGCTCTCCAGATTTGGCCCCTTGTGATTTTTTTCTATGGGGTTTTTTTTGAAATCCCGTGTTTATGTGAACCGTCCAAGGACATTACAAGATTTGGAGACCAACATCCAGGAAGAAATTGCCAACATAATGCCTGCTATGACAAACACCAGAAATCGGTTTACTCAGAATCATACAGTGGGCTTTATTAAGTTTTGAAAAAAGTTTGGAAAAAAGGAAGGCTAAAGGAAGAGGGGCCGACCAAGGGCAAGATGGATGGCATCCTTGAAGTGACTGGACTGACCTTGAAGGAGCTGGGGGTGGTGACGGCCGACAGGGAGCTCTGGCATGGGCTGGTCCATGAGGTCACGAACAGTCGGAGACGACTGAACGAATGAACAACAACAACATGCTGCCTCACCTTGTACTTCAATTAAGAGGGATTGTGGCGCAGCTGGCTGAGTGTCAGCTGCATTAAGATCACTCTGACCAAAAGGTCATGAGTTTGAAGCCAGCCCAAGTTGGAGTGGGTTTCCAACCAATTGTGCGTAGCCTGTTGTCAACCTTTGCAACCCAAAAGACAGTTGCATCTGTAAAATAGGAAAATTAGGTACCACCTTAAAAAGTGTGGGGAGGCTAAATTAACTGATTTATGAGGCCATAAAGAAGACTCCAGCAAAGCATTCCAGCGGGGAAGCATGCGGGGAATGCGGAAGTGCTTCATCAGCGTCGCAGATGGACGAGTGAAGCGACAGCTCCCCGGTGGCCAGAAAAAGTTAAATAGCCTCTGTGTATGTCTGTATATGTTTGTATGTCAAAGATTGGCATTGAATGTTTGCCATATATGTGTACACTGTAATCCGCTCTGAGTCCCCTGCGGGGTGAGAAGGTCGGAATATAAAAGCTGTAAATAAATAAATTAATTAAAGCAAGGGAAACAATTGATCAGTGGCCTTTCAGCAGAGGAGGAAAAATATTCTAAAGTTGGTTGTGCCTCCCATTCGCTCTGATAGGCAGAATGAGGTTTGCAGCAGCATCCAGAAAAGGCAGTAACTTACAAATTGTATAATCATGTTCCTGCCTCTATAACCTGTATGTACTATTTTAGTAGGTTTCTTTCTCATTCTTGAATCTCCCTCTCTCCCTTCTTAAAAAGTCTTCTCAGATTCTTTCCCCTCTCCTTTCTTTTCATTTGGGAAAAGACTACCCAGGTTCCTTAGCCATTGCATGCTTCTCTGCCAAGAAGATAAAAGACCTATGTTGTCCAGATTAATTGAGCCTGGTTGCCATTTTTCTGGGTTTGGCAGCAACCACTTCATTCATGGCTTTGGGGTCTGAACCTCTAGAGCAGGGGTCCTCAAACTTTTTAAACAGAGGGCCAGGTCACAGTCCCTCAAACTGTTGGAGGGCTGGATTATAATTCGAAAAAAACATGAATGAATTCCTATGGACACTGCACATATCTTATTTGTAGTGCAAAAAACACTTTAAAACAATACAATAATTAAAATGAAGACCAATTTTAACAAATATAAACTTAATAGTATTTCAGTGGGAAATGTGGGCCTGCTTTTGGCTGATGAGATAGGGTTGCTGTTGTTGTTGTGTGCTTTCAAGTAGTTTCAGACTTAGGTTGACCCTGAGCAAGGGCTGGGTAAATGACCTTCAAGGGCTGTATCCGGCCCTCGGGCCTTAGTTTGAGGACCCCTGCTTTAGAGGATGTGTTGCAATTGCAGGGGGATTTTTCATCCATCAGATACCAGGGCACCCATGGGGAAACATCCTCCCAACCCAGAAACGAAGACTGGTGGTAGTGTGGGGAGTGCTGTCCCTTTTTTCCTGTTCTCTTTCATCTGTTTTTTTCTATATTTTATTTGGCTGCATCATGGACTGATGGATTGCTCCCTTGATGGCCACTAGTGCATCAGAGTGAATGGGAAGAGCAACCCACTTCATGATGCTTCCTCTTCCACTACTAAAAACGAACATCTCATGAGCATGTCCAATGGTTTTTTTCTGGGAGTTGCCATGCAATAACAGTTTTACATGACATATGTAGAATGACAGGATTAACCATTGATAAATGGAATGTACTTCTGTCATACCATCTCTAGAAAGAGGAAGATACCAGATTTATACCAGTGGTTGAGAAGAAATGCTGGTGGCTTCTGCTTAACCCTTACATTCATCATTACCCTTTTCAATATTTTCCCAACCTCAGAGACCATGAAAAAAAATCTATTTGGAATAAATTCATAATCAGAACACTATTTGAATTTTCAAGATGCTTATATAAGAGGCTGCAAGATTTAGTTGCTTTCTGAGCTGTTTACAGTGAAAACAATATTATCAAGTTAATGTTAACTACTTTTCTATCTTATGTTTTTAACTCCTTTGAGAAAATTATTGGACTGTAACATTGCTTAATTCTGTATGGTTCATTCCCTGGTCAACACCATCTAGTCTGATATACAATTGAAAGGAACTCAGATGCTGACTTAACAGAAACTCTAATGAGGTGTTATTCAACAAATGTAGAATGCAACTAATTTCCCAAATGCTCATTTCTTTTTCTAGATCCACTGGAGGAGGTTTCTGAAATGGCACCACAGACAGCTGCAAACTCAGCCACAGATCTTCTCAAACAAGGGGCAGGTCAGTGAGCACTTTCTGATGCATTAGAATGTGTTTTAATGTATCATTGAGGATCTGGTGGCAGCTTAAGTCTAAGCAAAATGCATCCCAGATATAAGTAAGGGATGAGAATGTCTGCAGTTCTAGCAACATTGAGATGTGAGGAGGTGTGACCTATAATGCATTCTTAAAGTTACTTTTTTTAACTTTGTGTCTTAATGGTTTTTAACTGGGAATTTTTAAATACTGGATATATTTAATCCAGTTTTATTGTTTGTATATTGTTATGCTAATGCTTTTATGTTAAGCCACTTTGAGTCCCCTTCAAGGCAGATAAAATGGGGTTTAAATAAATATAATAACAAAACTAATAATAGTAGTAGTAGTAGTAGTAATAATAATAATAATAATAATAATAATAATAATAATGGCACAAGCCAGTAAAGATGGTCCCAGTGGTGATCGGCACACTGGGTGCAGTGCCTAAAGACCTTGGCCTGCACTTAAACACAATCGGCACTAACAAAATCACCATCTGCCAGCTGCAAATGGTCACCCTACTGGGATCTGCACACATTATTCGCCAATACATCACACAGTCCTAGACACTTGAGAAGTGTCCCACGTGTGATCCAATACAACAGCCAGCAGAGTGATGTTGTTTGCTGTGGACCCATCTTGTTGTGTTTCTAATAATAATAATAATAATAATAATTCCCTGATCAACATCATCATCATCAGCATTATTATTATTATTATTATTCCCTGATCAACATCATCATCAGCATTATTATTATTATTATTATTATTATTATTATTATTTGTTACTTGCCTCTCCTTGCATCTCAAAGTTAACAACGCAATTAAAACAGACACAAGACTATTAAAATACATATTACAAAATTCAAACAAGACACACACCAATAAAATGCAGGTTAAAATTCAATTTAAAAATGGGTATTTTAGTATTGATATATGAAAACAGAAATCCCCTCCAGTTCACAAGACTCTGCACAGCATTGTGTTGTAGTCTGATATATATACAATTGAAAGGAACTTGGATGCTGACTTAACAGAAACTCTAATGCGTAACCATATTTCTGTGTCCGAACCCATACGATCTCTTACATCTGGAGCAGCCCTGCTCGCGCTCCCACCTCCTTCGCAGGCCCGATTGGTGAGGACGAGGGAGAGGGCCTTCTCGGTGGTGGCCCCCTGACTCTGGAACTCACTTCCCAAGGACATCAGACATGCCCCAACTCTGGCAATCTTTAGGAGGAGCCTGAAAACGTGGTTGTTCCAGTGTGCCTTCCCAGAATAAGGAAAACTCTCAACAATATGCCCTCAAAATGCACTTTACCACTGATTTAGGACTGACTGCGTTCCCTTATCTCTCTTTGAAAAACCCTATCTCATTTATATCCTACCTTGTTCATGCCCAGCATTATTTTTTAAAATTTTAAATTATTACATTTGGCCCGGCCATAGGTTTTTAAAATGCTTGTGTGTTACTGTTATTGTTTATTTTTTATTTTTTGTTTATGTGATTTATATTAATTGTTTTCCATTGATTGTTTTTGTTATTGCCTTTGTTTACTGATGTACTGTGGGCTTGGCCTCATGTAAGCCGCACCGAGTCCCTTAGGGAGATGGTAGCAGGGTATAAATATATTATTATTATTATTATTATTATTATTATTATTATTATTATTATTCAACAAAAGGAAGTCATGTACACTCAGTTAAGTAATTGGTTCATTTAGGATCCCTAATCAACACCTAGAAGGGATGCATTGCTCCTTTCCCAGCCAAAATCCCAGAAAATAACCAGTGCAGAACACTTCAGTCTTTCTGAGCATTGCAATAGTCCTTGAATTAAAAAAAAGTTTTGTAGGAAGTTTGAAAAGTGAAACAGCACAATTGGAATATATCTACAAACTCCAGTCCTTCAACAGAGTATTGAACAGAGACTACGGTTTATTGGCACACTGCACATATTATAACAGTAAATAACATTACAGCCTCATGAGGGCTCTCTTGGCCAGTTTATCACATCTCAGATACATACCAGTAACTTCCTTCATAATTCATATGGTTATCTACTCACCTACTTTAGGAAACATATTTTCGCCTCTTTTTGTCCCTGAATGCATTATTGCAGCAACTTTGAGAATAGCTGAGAAAAAGAAGTTGATAGCATAAGCTTTTGTAGACTTAAGTCTACTTCATCAGATGCATGGAGTGCAGTACTATGTATACTCATGGATAAGCTTATGCCACCAGCTTCTTTTTCTCATCTATTCTTAAAGACGCTGCAAGATCTCTGCTTATCCCATTTACAGTTTCAGTGTTATTCAGTTGCTATTGCTCTTTACTGCATTCTAGTGATATTCCTGTATCTTACAGTGGAGAGAGATTTCACTTTCTTGGTTCCTGTTATGCACAAATATGATTGAGATCATCCCACTGCAAATGTATCTAACTCAGTTGTATTTCACTGGATGTTTGGTGTAGGAGCAGTGAAATTCACAATATGTACAGTATATTCTGGCGTATAAGACTACTTTTTAACCCAAGAAAATCTTCTCAAAAGTCAGGGGTCGTCTTATATGTGGGTGTAGTCTTATGCATGGGAGTTGTCTTAACTCTATATTTTAACTGGAAAAGTTGGGGGGTCGTCTTATACGCCCAGTCGTCTTATATGCCGGAATATACGGTAGTTATTGTGTTAAGCAGTTACTTGATAAGTTCTGTGGCATTTAGTTTCATCTCTGTACAGTTCTAGAAGACAAATGAAGTGAGAAGAATTTGAGAATTGATTAATAGATTATTGATCCACAGTACAATGCAGCTGATAGCTTCAATAGGCTTTCAGTACTATCAACCATAGTATCCTTTTGGGCCACTTCGCTGATATGGGACTTGGAGGCACTGTGCTAGAGTGCCTCCAGTTCTTTCCTTGAGCGCTGTACCCAGAAGGTGGTGCTGGGGGACTCCTGTTCTGACCCCTGGCCATGTATTATACGCTAAAACATATAATATATGGCACCATCCTGCAGTCATTATCCAGGTTGTTTAAGATGTTGGTTCCATGGGAATCTCTTGCACTTTAATTAAGATGTTTGCTGAATGCCTGCTTCCACAGCCAGGATTTTACTTTTTTCCAAAATATTTGGAGGGAGGAGGCTGTTCTGATGTCACTGGGGAGAGAGTTCCATATTCAAGGGGCCACCACTGAGAAGGCCCTATATCTTGTCCCCATCAAATGCTCTTGCAAAGGAGGTGGGACCGAGAGAGGGAGATACATTCGGACAGCTAAGCCAGGCCAGAGCTGTTTAGGGTTTTATAGACTAAAGGAAGCACTCTGAATTGAACTCCATAGCAGAGTGGCAACCAATGGACCTGACATAACGCCGGGGGGGGGGGGGGGGGGGGGGGGGGTTATATATTCCCTGTACGCCACTTTGGTGAGCAAACTGGCTGTCGTAAACAGTCTTCACACACACAGTTTTACTTTTTATTTTTTATTTATTTATTTGCGTCATTTCTATCCCTCCCATTTCAGTACGAAGGCAACTCAGGGTGGCTTACAGACCGGCAAGAATTAGATGAAACGCTGAAGTTTCAAACGTCTGCTCAAAGAGCCATGTTTTCACTCTTTTCCGAAAAGTCAGGAGAGAGGGAGCCGATCTAATGTCCCTGGGCAGGAAGTTCCACAGCCAAGGGGCCACCACTGAAAAGGCCCTGTCTCTTCGCCCCACTAGATGCGCCTGTGAGGCAGGCGGGATCAAGAGCAGGGCCTCCCCAGGCGATTTTAATGCCTAGAACAGGGGTAGGGAACCTTTGGCCCTCCAGCTGTGGTGGACTTCAACTCCCACAATTCCTTGAGGCTCGGCATTCGCCCCAAAGGCTTACCTTGGCCCAATGCCGAGCCTCAAGGAATTGTGGGAGTTGAAGTCCACCACAGCTGGAGGGCCAAAGGTTCCCTACCCCTGGTCTAGAAGGTACATAGGAAGAGATGCATTCAGATAGATAAGCTGGGCTGAAACTGTTTAGGGTTTTATGGGCTAAAGCCAGCACTTTGAATTGTGCCTGGTAGCAAAATGGCAGCCAGTGGAGCTGGTACAACAGAGGAGTTGTATGTTCCCTGAGCGCAGCTCCCGTTAGTAACCTGGCTGCTGCACGCTGGACAATTTGAAGTTTCCAAACAGTTTTCAAAGGCAACCCCACATAGAGCACGTTGCAGTAGTCTATACAGGATGTGTGGACTACAGTGGCCAAGCTTTTGGTCTAATGGTTGACACACTGTTTCATTAAAAGTGTTGGAAGGCAAATATGTACCTGAAAACATTTTTCATCTTAATAATCCTTTTATTGCTTTCTTTTTTTATAAACAGCATGCAACGTTTGGTACCTGAATTCTGTTGAACTGGAGTCCCTCACAGGTTATCAGGCAATCCAGAAGGCACTGAGTTTAACATTGTCTCAAGAACCTCCTCCCAGCTTTACTGTGGTCCATTTCAAAGTGTCCACACAGGGAATCACACTGACAGACAATCAGAGAAAGTAAGTGCAGAAAATAAGATTCTTCCTCCCAATGTGGTGGTATTGTATGTCCTTAAAAGTAAAGGATCTTATGCCATTTTAAAAATAATATTGCAATTTTAAGTACAAGTTGTAAGTACAGTGATACCTTGACTTAAGAGTTTAATTTGTTCGATGACAGCTCTTAATTCAAAATGCTCTTATCTCAAAGCAAATTTCCCATTGAAATGCATTGATTAATCCATTTCAGTCCCACCAAACTCCCCCTCCCCCATTTTTGTTATGTGTTCTTAAGAAAATCTATATAAATAAAAATGTAATGTTCGTTTGTGGGATTAACAACACAAAAAACACTGGATGAATTGACACCAAATTTGGACACAAGACACCTAATAACCCAATGTATGTCCTTCACTCAAAAAAAAAATAATTTTGTCATTTGGGAGTTGTAGTTGCTAGGATTTATAGTTCACCTACAATCAAAGAGCATTCTGAACTCCACCAATGATGGAATTGAACCAAACTTGGCACACAGTTCTCCCATGACCAACAGAAAATACTGGTTGTCCTTTGGTTTTGGAGTTGTAGTTAACCTACATCCAGAGATCACTGTGGACTCAAACAATGATGGATCTGGACCAAACTCTACACGAATACTCAATATGCCCAAATGTGAACACTGGTGGAGTTTGTAAAAAAATAGAATATTGACATTTGGGAATTGTAGTTGCTGGGATTTATAGTTCACCTACCATCAAAGAGGATTCTGAACCCCACCAACGATGGAATTGAACCAAACTTGGCACACAGTTCTCCCATGACCAACAGAAAATACTGGAAGGGTTTGGTGGGCAGTGTCCTTTGGTTTTGGAATTGTAGTTCACCTATATCCAGAGATCACTGTGGGCTCAAACAATGATGGATCTGGACCAAACTCTACACAAATACTCAATATGCCCAAATGTGAACACTGGTAGAGTTTGGGGGAAAATAGAATCTTGACATTTGGGAGTTGTAGTTGCTGGGATTTATAGTTCACCTACAATCAAAGAGCATTCTGAACCCCATCAACTATAGAATTGGGCCAAACCTCCTACACAGAACCACCATGTGGGCCACAGCAACACGTGGCAGGGGACGGCTAGTGTACTTTATAAATACCAAATAATGTATAAATGCATTCACATGAAAAAAGAAAAAAAGAAAAATCAGCTTTTAAATAGTAGCAAAGTTGTGGCAAGGAAGCATATTTGAGGCAACAAAATGTGTGTTGGCCAGTAGAGGTGTGGTTGATTCTGTTTCGCGATACGGGATCCAAGGAAATTTGGCAATCTTGCAGGGATCTGATAGGGAACAGTTGCAGTTTTCCTCTGATTCAACTTTCCTCAAGATTGATCACTACATAAAATGCTTCAGCACACTTGATTTCAACACTTCTTACCATTTTTACGTCTTTTCTCTTTTCCTCAGGCTGTTTTTCAGAAGGCACTATCCAGTCAACACTGTTATTTTCTGTGCTTTGGATCCACAGGACAGGAAGTAAGGGTGGCAAGTGTTTTTTCCTAAATGAAATTTCACATATTGTGTGAGATAACAAAACAGTCAAACCAAACTGTAATCATTCTCTTTCCTTCCTCTACATTCATTAATGCAACAAGGTGGATGAAAGATGGTCCTTCAGCAAAGTAAGTACATCGTTGTGTAAAGAATATTTTCTGTTGTCTGTTTTTATTTTTCCTTAGCTAGAACTGTAATTTCCATCTCTGCTTCATATATGTAGAGATGTATACGGTACCCAGTTGTATAGGGCTGTGCATCTACCTCAGAATTCTCTAAAGCAGAAACTTATCTAATGTAAGAACTAGTGAACAAATATGACTCATGGCACTTTTAACCATTTATTGTTGTGTGCCTTCAACTCAGTTTTAACTTATGGCAACTCTACGATAATCTATCATGGATTTTCTTAGCAAGATTTAGTTAAGATTCTTAGTTAAGGGGGCTACCTTTGCCTTTCTTTGAAGTTGGGAGAGTGTAACTGGCCCAGTGTCACTCAGTTGGGTTCTAACTTTCCGGAGGAAATTGAAGACCTGGCTGTTCGAACAAGCATTTGATTAAACAGTAATTGAACATAGGAATGGAATAATGGATGATGAGACTGGATTCTGATTTTACTGTTGAGGCGCTAATTATTGTTATTCTGATGTTAATGATTTATGTTACAATTGTTTTTAATTGCCCTATACTTGTCTCGTGATGTTTTGTATCGATGTTGTTCACCGCTTTGAGTCGCCTGAGGGCTGAGAAAAGCGGTATATAAATAAAGTAAATAAATACATACATACATAAATACTATTGCTTTAACTATGCGGATCTTTGTTGCCAGTGTGATGTCTCTACTCTTCACTATTTTATCGAGATTGCTCATTGCTCTCCTCCCAAGAAGTAGACGTCTTCTGATTTCATGGCTGCAGTCTGCGTCAGTAGTAATCTTTGTACCTTTGTACCTAGAAATACAAAGTCTGTCACTGCCTCCACATTTCTCCCTCTGCCAGTTATCAATCCGTCTTGTTGCCGTAATCTTGGTTTTTTAATGTTTAATTGTAATCCAACTTTTGCACTTCTTTCACCTTCAATATAAGAACTTGCCACAATTTATTATCATCCACACAGTCAAAGGCTTTAGAATAGTGAATAAAACAGAAATAGATGTTTTTCTGAATCTCCCTTTCTCCATTATCCAGTGGATATTGGCAATTTGGTCTCTCGTTCCTCTGCCTTTTCTAAACCCAGCTTGTAGATCTGGCAACTCTCTCTCTCTTCATGTATTGCTGGAGTCTTCCTTGCAGGATCTTGAGCATTACCTTACTGGCATGAGAAATAAATGCCACTGTATGAAAGTTTGAGCAGTCTTTAGCATTTCCCTTTTTTGGTATGCGGATATCAGCTGATTTTTTTCCAGCCTGATGGCTATTCTTGTGTTTTCCGTATTTTCTGGCATATGGCATGCATCACCTTAACAGCATCATCGTTCAAGATTTTGAACAATTCAGCTGGGATCCCGTCGTCTCCTGCAGTCTTGTTGTTAGCAATGCTTCTTAAGGCCCATTCAACCTCACTCCTCAGGATGTCTGGTTCTAATTCACTCACCACGCCATCAAAACTATCCTCAGTATTATTATCCTTCCTATACAGATCTTCTGTATAGTCTCGTCACCTTCTCCTGATCTCTTCAGCTTCTGTTAGGTCCTTGCCATCTTTGTTTTTTATCACACCCATTTTCATTGTGATAAGTATATGTTATTGTTTAAACAACTTTGTTCCATTATTCTATATTGTTAAAGAACACAATGAATAAAAAATCATGTTAATCCATTTGTTAGGGTACAATTTTTTTCCAAGCACAGACTACAAGATTCCTTAAAATATACAATCTCGGTTCTTTATGTAAACTAAAGGTTGTTTCTAAACTCATTACAAAATTTGCTTCCTGCCTTATATTCAAGGGAAAGGTTGGTAGTGTCTTCCAAGAAAAGCTTACTGTTCTTGTTGAAGTAATTTGTTGAGAAAATTTGTGGTGACCTATAAATGTAGTTGTAAATAAGCAATTGTCCTATTTAAATAAGCTTCAACATAGGTACAAGTTTAAGTAACTTCAATAGTGAAACACACAAAATATATACGGTTTACAACATAATTTCATAGGACATATATATCAATGAATATATCAAACTTAAAGGCAGTTCACATTGTGTTTAGTACATTTGAGAATAAGTCAATGATTTTACAACAAAAGTTCACGTTGTATTCCACAAACTTGAGACTATCAAAACTGGAAACAGTTCGTGTTGCTTTCAGCCAACTCGGGAGTCCACAACAAGGTTCCCCGGGTGCTTTTGTGTCCTTGTTTCAAGAACAAAATTCTCTTCTTCAGACTTCTTTCATTAAATCAAAGGTAATAGTACTTCTGTGGTTTTTACTAAATTTAGAGAGGACAAAATAATAGATATGCTAAGTGTCACCCAGTTATTTTTGACAGTTCTTATATAAACAAAACAAGGAATTTACTTACATTAATAGCATCAATGGCTCTGCAAAGAAACTTCAACAAAGTGTAGCCTGCTTCTGCTTTTAATTGTGAGCAATAAGATACAAGATGTTACTCCTTTTTAAGGATATCAGTTCATTACCGGTGATTACAGAAAGCAAGTGAGCTCTAATTTGTCATTTAACCCTTGTGGGTGTACTGTCTGTAGTTTAGAGATCCAAAATGCTTCTCTCTGCAGTAAAGTGCTATTTTGATCTCCATGAGGCTTTGTGATTATTCTTTCTAAAGCACATAATTTAAAACTAGTGTATGAATGAGATTTTTCTGTGAAGTATGAGTAGAGGGTAGAGTCTGAAGCTTTGTTTTTGATACAAGAGCTATGTTCAAGGATTCTAGTTTTCAAGGTTCTGCTTGTTTTACCCACATAAAGTAGTCCACAGGGACACTGAATTAAGTATATTAATGAGTCTGATTGACAGGTAGTAAATTAATCAATTACTGAGTTAGCCAATTACTTGAAACCATGCAGCTGTATCTTTTACAATGAACTTCTCCTGAGATGGGAGCATTCAAAATGACTGTTCATTTACTAATGGGTCCATGGACTGCAATAAATATTGTTGCTGAGTAGCCCGTTATTTCATAATAATGCAATGTTTCTCTGTTCCCCAATGCATGTTTACTGTGTGTTTTCTTTTTCTGCAGGGTGTTTGGATTTGTTGCAAGGAAGCAAGGAAGTGCCACCGATAATGTTTGTCACCTGTTTGCACAGCATGATCCGGAGCAACCTGCCAGTGCCATTGTAAACTTTGTGTCAAAGGTCATGATAGCTTCCCAGAAAAAGAACTGAAAGATGTTGGCAGTGCTGTGAGTGACATTTCAGGAGAAGAATTACTAGAAAGATTATTCCAAGATGGTAGCCTCATCTTCTGCAGCCATGTGTTCCCAGGGAAGATGTTCCATGTGCATAGCAATACAAGGACCGACTGTGTTTCAATAATGCCTTCACTATTTATAACATTTTGTCATTAAGCTGCAGAGCTAAACCCAGAAGAAGCTAGAAACTAGCAAGATTCCAAATGCCTATTTCTGAATAAACTCAAAAACACGAAGAAAAGGATTGGCGTTTAAATACTATTTTCATGCCTTGGTTGCAGCTTTCCAGTTCAGTCACTTTATTACAATAGAATGAAAAATCAATCTAGCAAACTGCTTTTATGTGGAATCCTTGCTAGAAATCCATGTTCTTTAAGAGTGGAATTACATGATGGAGTTTGTGGGGAAAAACTGCATTTTTTAAAACAGCATTCTCACCTAGAAATGCTTCTTTCCAGGCTGCTTTTTGCACACACTGTTAGGTTCAGACGTCAGAAACCATTCTTGAAAAAGAGAAGAGACTGCATTTGTAGGACTAATAATTTGGTGGGTACGAAAGGAGACCTATGTGGTTTACAGCTCTTCCTGTTGCCAAGCCATGAACCTCTACTAGATCGCCATGGTTGCCACTGCCTTAGAGACAGGACCACTTGTTTTTACTGTTGTTTTAACATGACACTGATGGAAATCAAACGTAAAATGGACAGCTCTATTCACAGATGAGATTGATGTAGGTTTATTGGGATGGTGCAGAGAGAAAGAGACATTTCTAGATCCTTACCTTGTACATTTGCTATAATGAAGGTGAGGTAACTCTAATTTGGTTGGATATAAGCAGTAATGGGGCTGGTTAGTAAAGAAAAGTAAAAGATGCAGTGAAAAATTGACATATTTTCTATTCCTTTTTGTAGGAAACGAGGAAAATGTCATTTTCATTATTGTTGGATAAGAATAAGGAAATATGTATATATGTAATTTGCTTTTGCCTGATACAAATGTTTTGGTCATGGAACCCTTCAGAAGATTTTTTTTTAAAAAAACCCTAAGCATTGTGAACTCTTTTTCTTTCATCTTCTCCTATTTCCTGAGTATTTTTGTATCACATAGTCGGTTAGGAAATAAAGAGAAAACATTTTAAATATAACCACAAATCTTTTATTTGGGCACAAGAAAATATTGGATATACCACAAACATTTATTTTGGTAGAAAAAATTCAATTCCATTGACTCATTAGTTCTGGTTGAATTGGGACCAGATTTGGGTTTTGGGCAATGTTTGAACACAAATGATGCCAGTTATGCAGGCCTACCTGCGCCTGAGTGAACAACTGAAAGGAACTTTTCAGTCAGAAGAAAAGAGCAATTAGAATGTTTCTGCAACATTTCCATTGACAGTAAAGGAAATGGGCTCAACTTTGAAACGGAAATATCAAAATTGTACAATTAAATCTCCAAAATGTAAATGTACATTTTTGGTTTTGCCAGGCATTGGGATTGATAATTCTACTATCCATGTTTGAATAAATTATTAGGATCAGGAGGATAGCTGCCATTGAAATAACTAGGCAAAGTAGCTTTTTATATCAAATCCTTTCTATGTAACATGTATTCTTTAAAGATATGATTTGAACCAACTAGATGGAATTAAGTCCCCCAAAAGTAGTTTGTCCTTCTTGGATTTCTGCAAGAGCAATAATTCATCTTTTTTATTTCTAATTGGTAAATCGACTTTTAAATATGTCACCTGACACTCCCATCCCTATACTGTTCAACATTTTCCTCCTCCTCCTCCTCCTCTTCTTCTTCTTCCTCTTCTTCTTCTTCTTCCTCCTCCTCCTCCTCCTCCTCCTCCTCCTCTTCTTCCTCTTCTTCTTCTTTCTCCTCCTCCTCCTCCTCCTCCTCCTCCTCCTCCTCATCTTCTAAAAAACAGATGGTGTGGTTTCTGGCATCTTTCAGCTTGAATTCCTCCACTCCCCCACCCCCATTTTTGGAAGTCAGAAGCTGCAAGAGTCAGAAAAACATCTAGATTTCCCACCTTTACAGCAGAGAATAATAATCCAAACATTAATTAGTTCACGCTTATAAAATTAACATTGAATTTGATGGTGTTTGAGAAACTAACCATTATTCAGCAACATACAGCAGTATAATATTCACCGTTTATTTATCCCCATTACATATAAGTGACACTTTGCATTCCTGCTCAAAAACTGCATTCTTAAACTTGTGCAAATGAATGTGGTCTCATACCTTTGTATAGTCATTTCCCGTGCTTTTTGAATTGTCCCCTCTGTTAAAATTCTAATAAAAATTGTAATTTTATAAATCTAATTCTATACCTTGTGACTTGTTTGCTTTCAACTGATGTTCTTCAGTCTAGGCTATGATAGAAATGGCATCTTTGTGGAAAAGATAACGGGTTGGAGTAGCTTACAAGAATTCACTTCACTTCACTTTATTTCTTAATTAGTCGCTCTCCACCAAGGTTCTCCGAGCAACTTACAATCTAAAATAGCATTTACACAATATAAAAACATTCAACAGTGACTATTTGGCAAATTAGATCTGATTACTTAAATGCACAACCAAACAGCCAAGTCTTGAGTGCCTTTACAAAAGGTCACAACTCCAACATTGCTCTAATGTATGGAGGCAATGAGTTCTACAGAATTGGAGCATAGGTCAAAAAAGCTCTACGCCTTGTAACTTCCAGGTGTCCCTCCCTAGGAGATTTTCCTGTATGGGAGATTTTCCTGGTTGGATCGAGGTGACCACTGATGGAGAAAAGGAATGAAGCGGTCTCTAAGATATAAAGGTCCTTGGCCATTTTGAGCTCTAAATGTCAGGATCAGTATCTTGTAAGAGATCTGATGTTCTATTGGTAGCCAATGCAGTTGTTGCAGAATTGGTGTAATATGGGATCTTATAGATGATCCCGCTAGCAGCCTGGCCGCTGCATTTTGGACCATCCAAATCTTCTGGGTTGTTGACTTCAGAAGGCCGGCATATAAGACGTTGCAATAGTCCAACCTCATGGTGACTGTTGCGTGGATTACTGTTGCCAATGCTTCTACTGAAAGGTAGGATGCCAATTTCCTTGCCTGGCGAAGATGAAAAAAGGCCTGCTTACTTATGGCAGTGATCTGGGCCTCCATCGTCAGCGATTAGTCCAACACAACCCCAAGGCTTTTAACAGTGGCAGACGAAACCAGAGCTTCCCCATCGAAATCAGGCAGAGACTGGATTAATTCTGACGGCTGGCCGGGCCAGAGTATCTCAGTTTTAGCAGGATTCACTCTTAATCTGCTCGCTCGCAGCCAACTCATCACTGCTTCCAAACACAGCCTAAAGTTCTCCGGAATTGCGGTTGTCCCAGGTTCAAGACGCAAGAGTAGCTGGGTATCATCTGCATACTGGTAGCACTCTATGCCAGTGCTCCGCACCAGTCCAGCAAGTGGCCTGACGTAGATGTTAAAGAACAGGGGCGAGAGGATAGCACCCTGGGGAACTCCACAGCAAAGGCAGGAGCTCTCCGAGCTTTGGCCTTACCACTCTACCTTGTCTCCAGTCCTGGAGGAACGAATTGAACCATTTCAGGGCTAAACCTCATACACCAGACATAGCCAATCGATGAATCAGCAAGTCATGGTCCACGGTGTCGAATGCAGCTGTGAGGTCCAAGAGTACCAATAGCGCTGATCCTCCTCGGTCTAACTGACGACGAATTTCGTCAGTAATAGCTACCAAGACAGTCTCTGTTCCATGACCTGAACGAAAGCCTGATCGAAAGGGGTCCAAACCCGCAGTCTCATCTAAAAATTGCTGTAGCTGCACTGCCACTGTCAGTTCAATCACCTTGCCCAAAAATGGAAGGTTTGAAACTGGGCGATAGTTACTAGGTATGGCATCTAGGCTTGGTTTTTTCAAGAGAGGGTGGACCACTATTAACAAGCATGATATATGCTTACACACCTCTACTATGGCATTACAGTGGTATCGTTTCTAGAATCATAGAAAAGGCCACAGAGGGCATGCGGTGCAACACCCTGCCATGCAGTAATACACAAAAGCTCTCCCAATTGTCTGATACAGGAATATAAGATCTCAAAACAGCTTTAAGAAAAACATGAACAAGCTACTATATCCCTGTTATAGTCAGAATTGATAGGCATTATAAGCATCACATAGGTTCTACAATTTGTCATACACTGTTTTCCCATTTGTCAAAAGAGAATATAGGTTCCACTTTACCTTCATTTCAAAACATTGACCTTTCCCACTTTCTCAGCTTTCATATGAGAAAGACATTGGGAAAGATTCTTCTCAAAATAAAAGAGGTCTATCAGCCAGTGAGATATACTTAAATTCCTAGATGACAAGATTTTGCTGTACCATTCTCTACCATGCAATGAATCTTCTAACGAGCAGTTTCTTCACAGACTCCCAATTCCCATTATATATGTATGCTAATACAGATAATTGCCAATGCATGTTTAACATAGCCACAGTAGCCAATATGGTTATATAGCAAAAGCGCAATGCAGAGACAAACTGCTTCACACAAGAGTTTGAATCCACTTTAAATCTGGATTCTGCCTCCTCCAAAATTCCAGAGTTTGTAGTTTAGTGGGGCTGTTAAAGGCTCCTCCCTAAAGTACAAACCCCATAATTCTGCAGGAGGCAGCAACCGGATTTAAAGTGGATTCATTCTCTAGTGTGATAAGAGAACATGGCAGGGCTTAAGAATAATACACTTTATTTGTATTCTGCCCTTCTACCCTAGGGGACTTGGAGCGAATTACAGCATTCGATGCCTTTACAATCATATACAAATGGAGGTGGTGCTTCATCTCTGACTATGGGGAGGAGCTCTCTTCCATTTTTCAAGCCGAGAAGCCTGTGTTGTCATCTGATTATGTGGCCAGCAAGATTGCTTGGAGCATCTCTTTGCTTTTTCCAACCGAAGTGGTACCTATTTATCTACTCACATTACAGGTTTTCGAACTGCTAGGTTGGCAGGAACTGGAGCTGACAAGTGGGAGTTCACCCCATCTCGTGGATTAAATAGGATCCTGACAACCAAGAGATGACTATCCATCCTCTATTTAAAATCCTTGCAAGCACTCTGATTCTGCCCTTTCTATCTATATAAATAAAAATGTAATGTTCGTTTGTGGGATTAATATAACCCAAAAACCACTGGACGAATTGACACCAAATTCGGACAAAACACACTTGTCAGGCCAACAAGTGACTATCACTCATGAAAACACTGAAAAACACAACAGAAGGGACTTAAAAAGCCAAAAAAGCAAAAAGACGTTACAGCATCATGTGCAAAAACAATTCCCCCGATAAACAAAACACACAATAGCATATCCACACTCTCTTCCGGACTACAGCTCCCAGTAGCCCCTAAACACGGCCCTTTAGAAGAGGAGGATGATCTAAATGCACTGCTTCCAAGATGCAAGCTCTCTTGCATGAAGGGAAGAGAAAGCCAAGGAAGGAAGGAGAGAATGAAAGAAAAAAAGGAGAAGGAAGGAGAAAGAAACGAGGAGTGAAAGAGGGAGGGAAGGTTGGCCACAGCAACGTGTGATGGGTACAGCTAGTTGTTTGTTAAAAATTAACCAAGTTGAGTAGTACATTCTTATTTTATTCCATGATCCTGCTTTATTTTTATACTACAATATGCAACGTATTGCAACTGCTCTCATATTTTGAATCAAACAGCAAAAGGGATGTGCAGAGAATGGCATTGTTTTTGTAATCAATAAGAAATTGAATGATTTATACAGAAATTTTAAATAACGGCAGAATTTATTTATTTACAGGATTTCTATACCGCTTTTCTCACCCCTAGGGGGAGAGAAGATATCTAAAAGCACACACAAGAAAGCTTAAGACACAAAAAACCTATTTCCCTACCACAGTTAAACTTTACATTTACATCAATAAAATGCCTGGCAGCTTAACAGATCAGACACATTCCTATCATCCCATCACATATAAGGAGGGGATGCATGAATGAAAGGTCTCTTTGCCTAATATTCTTTGACAGAGGGTTTTAACAAAGAATTCCAGGGCTCTTTGTTAAAATCTTTGTCCAGCTTGAGTTGGACATTTTATCTATTGCTTATTTCACATAGACTCAGCAGTTTCTTATTGCATTCACACGACACAGCAACACACTTCAGCCAACACACAAACATGTTGTGACACAGAGTTTGGAAAACTCAGCTCTAGGCAGCTATTTTATTTTTTCAAACAATCCTAAAAACACCTGGTCTTACCTGATTTCGAAAGTTAACCAAGTTGGATCTGGTTAAGAGCTGGATGGAAGGTTATTAATTTATAGCAGACTAGCTGTCCCCTGCCACGCGTTGCTGTGGCCCAGTCTGTTGATCTGTAAAATAAAGTAATGAGAAATTGTTGGTTTCTAATATATGTAATTTCTTTATGCTTGTGGGTAAACAGCATTTCTTGCTGTTTCTTTCTACTTATGTTCCTTGATGCAGCCGAAACTACCATTGGCTTTATAAACTGCTGCATCACACTCATGATGAACTTGTTGTCCGTGAAGACTCCAAGATCTTTTCCCCATGTACTGTTGTCAAGCCAGGCCTCACCCATCCTGTACCTGTGCATTTCATTTTTTTCTGCCTAAGTGTAGTATCTTACCTTTGGGTTGTTGTAGGTTTTTTCAGGCTATATGGCCATGGTCTAGAGGCATTCCCTCCTGACGTTTCACCTGCATCTATGGCAAGCATCCTCAGAGGTAGTGAGGTCTGTTGGAACTAGGAAAAAGGGTTTATATATCTGTGGAATGACCAGGGTGGGACAAAGGACTTGTCTGCTGGAGCTAGGTGTGAATGTTTCAACTGACCACCTTGATTAGCATATAATGGCCTGACAGTGCCTGGAGCAAACTTTTGTTGAGAGGTGATTAGATGTCCTTGTTTGTTTCCTCTCTGTTGTTGTGCTGTTGTAATTTTAGAGTTTTTTTAATACTAGTAGCCAGATTTTGTTCATTTTCATGGTTTCCTCCTTTCTGTTGAAATTGTCCACATGCTGCTTGTGGATTTCAGTATTTCTGTGTTCTCAAATAAATGCTGTGTCCAGGTTGGTTCATCAGGTGCTCTGCTATGGCTGATTTCTCTGGTTGAAGTAGTCTGCAGTGCCTTTCATGTTCCTTGATTCGTGTTTGGGCAAGCTGCTACGTTTGGTGGTCCCTATGTAGACTTGTCCACAGCTGCATGGTATACGGTAGACTCCTGCAGAAGTGAGAGGATCCCTCTTGTCCTTTGCTGAATGTAGTATTTATTCGATTTTCTTGGTGGGTCTGTAGATAGTTTGTATGTTGCGTTTCCTCATCAGCTTCCCTATGCGGTCAGTGGTTCCCTTGATGTATGGCAAGAACACTTTTCCTCTGGGTGGATCTTCGTCTTTACTCTCATGGCTTGTTCTCGGTCTTGCAGCTCTTCTGATGTCTGAGGTGGAGTATCCATTGGCCTGTAGAGCCCAGTTGAGGTGGTTCAGTTCATCTTGGAGGAGGTGGGGTTCGCAGATTCTTTTTGCACGGTCTGCCAAGGCTTTAATGGTGCTTCTTTTTTGACTTGGGTGATGGTTGGAGTTTTTATGTAGATATCTATCTGTGTGTGTGGGTTTTCTGTAAACGGTGTGACCCAATTGTTGATCTGGTTTGCGGATGACTAGGACATCTAGAAAAGGCAGTCTTCCTTCATTTTCTTTTTCCATGGTGAACTGGATGTTTGGGTGGATGCTGTTAAGATGGTCCAGGAACCTGTTGAGTTCTTATTCTCTGTGGCTCCAAATGGTGAAGGTGTCATCCATGTATCTGAACCATATCGTGGGCTTTTTTGTTGCTGTTTCCAGGGCTTGTTTTTCAAAGTGTTCCATGTAGAAATTAGCTATGACCGGGCTGAGGGGGCTCCCCATAGCCATCTTACATTTGTTCTTGTTGGAATTCATTTTGTTAGTTTTGGTCCAGTTCTCTAATCTGTTAAGATCATTTTGGATTCTGATGCTGTCCTCTGGAGTATTAGCTATCCCTCCTAATTTGGTGTCATTTGCAAACTTGACAAGCATGTCCTCTAAAACTGATGGCAGATAACAAGAGCAAATCCATTTTGATTAGCCTCTCTCAAGGTGAGCTTTGTATATTTATTTAGAAAAGTGCAACATTCATTGAAATTATTTAAAATCCACCCCCTTCTTTCTTCCAAACACAGAGGCAGCCACTCCAATCCTCCATGTGTCCCTTCCACTAGGGATGTTGGAAGCTGTGAAAGACACTTGCAACAGCCCACCGCTGTGTTGCGGCGTCAAGAGTTGATGCGCGGTGTGGCACGTTTGTCCCCTTTCATTCCCATGGCTCAGACTGAAAAGGAAGCGCAGTGACGAAGGTGCCAAAAGTGGACCCGGGAACAGAACGTGCTCCTTGGCCGCCCTCTGTTGCATGGACGTAATGGGAGGAAAAGTATTTCTTTCAAGCCGGGAAAGGCAATTGCACAGGAAGAAAATGTCGGAGTCACTGTCACCCTCTCAGGAAACAAAAGAGGAAATGTCAGTCACGTCACTTGTATTTGTTTCCCAGCCTTTGAGGACGTGTCACTGCCTTCAGGAGGAGGGAGGCAAGGTGGAGGAGAATCAGGGAGGAAATGCGCCTTCTTCCGGCGTTTAAGAATAGGTCATGAGTTATGAGTTCCTTTTTTTCCTCTGAAAGGCCTGCCCCAAGGGCCTACTACTCCTTGTTCCTCTCAGCATTGGGTTTTCGGGCTAGATGGGAAAATAAAGAGAGACAGAATCATAAAATCGTAGAATCAAAGAGTTGGAAGAGACCTCATGGGCCATCCAGTCCAATCCCCTGCCAAGAAGCAGGAATATTGCATTCAAATCACCCCTGACAAATGGCCATCCAGCCTCTGTTTAGAAGCTTCCAAAGAAGGAGCCTCCACCACACTCCGGGGCAGAGAGTTCCACTGCTGAACGGCTCTCATAGTCAGGAAGTTCTTCCTCATGTTCAGATGGAATCTTCCCTCTTGCGGTTTGAAGCCATTGTTTCGCGTCCTAGTCTCCAGCGAAGCAGAAAACAAGCTTGCTCCCTCCTTCCTGGGGCTTCCTCTCACATATTTATACATGGCTATCATATCTCCTCTCAGCCTTCTCTTCTTCAGGCTAAACATGCCCAGCTCCTTAAGCCGCTCCTCATAGGGCTTGTTCTCCAGACCCTTGATCATTTTAGTCGCCCTCCTCTGGACACATTCCAGCTTGTCAATATCTCTCTTCAATTGTGGTGCCCAGAATTGGACACAAAATTCCAGGTGTGGTCTAACCAAAGCAGAATAGAGGGGTAGCATTACTTCCCTAGATCTAGACACTATGCTCCTATTGATGCAGGCCAAAATCCCATTGGCTTTTTTGCCGCCACATCACATTGTTGGCTCATTTTAACTTGTTGACCACGAGGACTCCAAGATCTTTTTCACACGTACTGCTTTCAAGCCAGGCATCGTCCCCCATTCTGTATCTTTGCATTTCGGTTTTTTTCTGCCTAAGTGGAGTATCTTGCATTTGTCCCTGTTGAACTTCATTTTGTTAGTTTTGGTCCATCTCTCTAATCTGTCAAGATCATTTTGAATCCTGCTCCTGTCCTCTGGAGTATTGGCTATCTCTTCCAATTTGGTGTCGTCTGCAAACTTGATGATCATGCCTTCTAACCCTTCATCTAAGTCATTAATAAAGATGTTGAACAGGACCGGGCCCAGTACGGATCCCTGCGGCACTCCACCCGTCACTTCTTTCCAGGATGAAGAGGAAGCATTGGTGAGCACCCTCTGGGTTCGTCCGCTTAACAAATTACTGATCCACCTCACCGTAGTTTTGCCTAGCCCACATTGGACTAGTTTGTTTGCCAGAAGGTCATGGGGGACCTTGTTGAAGGCCTTACTGAAATCCAGGTACGCTACATCCATGGCATTCCCCGGATCTACCCAGATTGTAACTCTATTGAAAAAAGAGATCAGATTAGTCTGGCATGACTTGTTTTTGAGAAATCCATGTTGACTATTAGCGATGACCGCATTTGTTTCTAAGTGTTTGCAGACCACTTCCTTAATAATCTTTTCCAGAATCTTGCCTGGTATCGATGTGAGGCTAACCGGACGGTAATTTTTTGGGTCCTTTTTTCCTTTCTTGAAGATTGGGACTACATTGGCCCTCCTCCAATCTGCTGGAACTTCTCCCATTCTCCAAGAACTCTCAAAGATGATTGCCAATGGTTTCGAAATGACTTCCACTAGATAAACTGTGGCCCCTTCTACATTGCAATGTAATGCAGATTTTCAAATCAGATAATCCACATTATCTTCTTTGAACTGGGTTATATAAGTCTACACTGCCATATAATCCAGTTCAAAGCAGAATCTGAATTTTTAATGGTAGTGTAGAAGGCGCCTGTGAGGTCTTCCAACGGTATTGTTGGCTTTCTCTTGCTATGCTCCCCAGAGTGGATAATGAAATACTTGGGCGCAGAAGTGGGGGACTTTGCTTGCTGCTATGGAAAATGTATGATTTTAGGGGGAAAGAGGAGGGAGAAAGTTAGCCTGGGATCCCTTCTCAGCTGTTTTATGATCTGTACTTGTGGGAATGAATGTTGATGGCAGAAGACAGCTTGGATTTTAAAAGCTCCCCGTCATCATCACAAATAGAGATTTGTAAGGGAACTATTCCCTTTTTGACAGAATGAACATCCTCAGTACAGGAAATGCATAATGAGCACATCTCATTGCAGACACTTCCCACGCTCGGTCTCCTTAATAGCATCTCACTTTGGTTTTATTGCCGATTGGGAAAGGATCCAATGGAAAAATGTTAACGCAGACACTGACTCTACAAGTTGCCACCTTCCTCTTGGTCCTAGTTCAGGCTTGAGCACCAGGCCATAATAATAATAATAATAATAATAATAATAATAATAATAATAATAATACTAATAAAAATTCATTGGAACCTGTGCTACAAACACCATCTGCCTGCGACAAAGAACTGGTGGGATCACAAGCCAGAAAAAGTTACAGAAAATGAACACGTCAAACTCCGCTGAGACTTCCAAATTCAGACAGACAGAGTTTTGGAGCACAATACTCCTGACCTCACAATCATGTTAAAAAACAAAGTATGGATTGCCAATGTTGCAATCCCAGGTGACAGCAGGATTGAAGAGAAACGACTGGAAAAGCTGACACGATATGAGGATTTGAAGATTGAACTGCAAAGACTCTAGCACAAGCCAGTCAAGGTGGTCCCAGTGGTGATCGGCACACTGGGTGCAGTGCCTAAAGACGTTGGCCTGCACTTAAACACAATCGGCGCTGACAAGATTAC